CGCACTTCGACGCGTGCGGCGGCCACGTGTTCCTCGCGGACCGCGGCTACCACTACCATTCGGCGTCGTCCTGCGTCCTCGCGGCCATGGACGTCGGCGGCCTCGACGAGCTGCTCGTGGGCTGGGCCCTCGACGGCTTCGGCCTCTACGCCGTTTTGGACGCGGCCGGCGCGCTCTCCGACCCCATGCACGACCTCGACGAGTGCCGCGGCGCGGCGGTGCTCGGCGAGTACCGCTACTACGTCACGGCGTCCCTGCCCCACGCGCCGCCGTGCCTCCGCGGGGCCTTCGAGGCGCCCACGCGCGCCGTCGCGTCGCCCCTCGTCGCCTGCCCGAAGAAGGGGCGCAACGTGACGTACTTCCGCAACGCGACGCGGCTCTCCGACCCGCTCGACTGCCCGACGCCCCGGGACGGCGCGCTCTACCCGACGTTCCTCTTCCGCACGGCGCCGCGGGGCGGGCCGGGCTCCTGGCGCCTCCACGCTTTGGCCTTCGGCGCGCTCTTTGCGCTCGTCGGCGGCGGCACGCTGCTCGTCGTCGTCGGCATGTGGTCCGAGGGCCTCTGGCCGGGCGTCGCGACCTACGCGGGCGGGCAGATCGTCCTCGCGGGCCTCGTCTGCGGGCTCCGGGCCGCGTGCCTGCTCGCGGACCCCTACTGGGCCGACGAGGCGTGGTCCGCGCTCACGTACGGCGGGCTCTGGGGGGTCTGCTACCCCATGATGGACGTCGTGCTGCTCCTCGAGCTGTGGCACGCGTGCGAGATCACGGCGGCCGTGAGCCCCCAGGTCTTCGCGGGCGTGCCGGCGCCCCTCATGCTGCTCCTGGGCTCGGCGTCGCGCGCGTCGGCCGTCGGCGACTTTGGGATCCAGTTCATGGCCGACTACCTGCGGAGCCGCGGCAACGGCTGGGAGTGGCTGAAGATCTGCCAGATCTACTACGTCGTGCTCGGCCTGCTCACGTGCGTCGCGCTGTCGTACGTCGCCGCGAAGCTCTCCGGCGGCGCGCGGGAGCTGCGGACGTCGTGGTCCATGCGCGTCTTCCTCTTCCGGCTCACGTGCAAGCTCGGCTACATCGCCGTCTTCGGGGCGGCGCTGTGCGTGACGTCCTGCATCGGCCTGGACCGCGGCATGGACCTCAGCGACAGCGCGTACTTCCTCCTCACGACGCAGCAGCGGCTCTTCGAGGCGCTGCTGTGCGTCGCCGTGGTCTACGCGGCGCTGCCGACGCACTGGGCCCTGGAGCGGTGCTTCCCGGACGCGCGCGACGACGAAAAAGACGAGTACCGCGATTCGAACCTGTCGTTCTCCTCGACGATCATCGGCGACGTCACGGCGCAGTTCACGCCGTCGGGCGCGGCGTCGAAGCTCGACCTCGAGTGCGACGAGGAGGCGGACTACCGCGCGTCCATGGACTGGCGCGACGGCGCCGCCGTCAGGGCGCCCGCCGACGTCGCGGCCGTCGCGGCCGTCGAGGTCCTCGACGCGCCCGCGGCCGCCGCCGAGGACGCGGCGGCCTACGCCGTCGAGCTCGAGGCGGCGGCGACGGCGGAGTCGCCGGCGTCCGTGTCCTGCTTCGAGCGGGCCATCGCGCGCGCGCCGTCGAGCACGCGGAGCCTCGGCCTCTCGCCGGGCGCGTCGTCCCGGAGCCTCTCGACCGCGGAGACCGCGGTCGCCGTCGCGAGCCACGACAAGAAGCGCCCGACGGAGGAGCTCCTCGACGACGCGCTGCGCGTCGTGCGGCTCATGGAGGCGCTGCCCATGCGGGTCATGGACCTCGCGGACTTTGCGGCGTTCGGTAAAATCCCACGGTCGAGCGACGGCCTCGCGCGCGACCGGCGCGACGGCGACTACGTCGTCTTCGTGAGCCACCGCTGGTGGGGGCCGACGACGCCCGACGCGGACTTTCACGGCAGCGACGGCCGGGACGCGACGCGCGTCAAGTACGGCCTCATCAAGCGCGGCATCGAGGCGATCGTACGCAAGGAGAAGCTCGATCGATCGAGGGTCTGCGTCTGGATGGACTTCGCGTGCATCGAGCAGGACGACGCCAAAACCCAGAAGCTCGGCGTCCAGTCCTTGATCGCCTGGGCGAGCCGCGTCGACGTGCTCCTCGTGCCCGTGAAGCCCGCCCTAGCCGACTGCGAGGCGTTCGACGCGGCCGACGCGCCCGCGGGGCTGCGGA